AAGGTCTCGGTTCGAGTCCTTGTGAATGCAGAAAACCCTTGTTGGGAGACTCACCTACCATTGCTAGGTATGCGACCCGGGTCGACCAACAAATTAGTCGGGGCAACGCTCTGAATACCGTGGTTGGCTACCAAAAAAAACCACCTAAAATCTTAATTAGGTGTTAAATTAAATTAATACACAAATATTACTATAACAAGTAGATTCAAACAACAAATTAGCCTACGAATTAATGGAAAGACTAAATCTTATGATTTTGTAGTCACACACATATAGTGTAGGGGAGATGCTACAGTCCCGTTACGGAACCATTCCGTCGAGATTTGTAACTGTTAGATCAATTATCCCTGATGGTTAGATGATGATCTAACGGTTACAAATCTCAACGAAATGATTCCGTTACGAGACTGTAGCATTTCTCTATATATAATATGCTTATATCACGCATGTCGACACGTGGACAAATCTGAGCCGTTGATCTATCTGATGCTTTCTGAGATCAACGGTGGTGAAGTGGGACTGCCTTTTCTATGTTGCCAAACAAAAGAGACCACTGCTAAAATGCGCCACACCAACTAAGTTAATTGCTGTTAGGGAGAGGGACAAATACCAGTCATGAAGGCTTCATTGGCCTTATTATAATTTATTTTCCACATTTATTATATTTTTCCTATTTATTCTAAAATTAAATTGAAGTTCGGTTTAATAGTTGGCACAGGTCCACAACGTATAGCATATATGTTTCATTTATTTTTTTTTTTTTGTTCAAATAAAAAATTGAAGCAATAGAGTAAGATAAGTAAATAAATTTGAGTCTTGAGCAATAAAAATTACGTTGAAATTATAAATTGACCGAAAAATAGACACTAAAAATAACTCATTTCCTTTTGGCACTACATAATTATGACTGCATGTTTATTTTACCAAAAAAAAAAAAAAAGGATTTATATTCATGAATTAATTTTATAGCTTCCAAAAGATTTGAACTTATATTGCAAAAATGATGATATAGATTCGTTTTTTTTCTGGTACAAGTAAATAGTACGATTTGAAGCTTAGCGAATGTGTCTGAAAATACAGCTATTCTTTGGGGGCAACAAAGGTCAAAAGGTTAGTCATTGGTCCTTGTTGCCTACTCAAATATTGAGTTTTAATCTGAATTTTTTTTAGACAATAATAATTTAGAAAAAAAAAGGATAAAATAGTTAGGCTAACATTCAACAATCACAAATTTTTGTATACAACATATAAACAAACAAAAGTATAACATTTCATATCATGTAGAAGGATGAGAGACTTTATTTGGTGTCACCACTTGGAAAATACGGAGTGGCTGTAATGAGGCTCTTTTTGCTGATAGCGTTTTCGTAGTTCCACAAAAAGTTAGAGAGGTGGACAAATTTGTTAGAGCATCCACAATGCTTTGGGTCTCTTTTTGCATATGTGGCAAATAAATAGACTTAAGTCCATAATGACATGGACAAACCTAAACTAAAAAAACCAAAATCTATCCAATGCAAAACCAAAAAGTACTAGGTCTAGAATACATGACAGCCAATAAAAAATGATATAGATTCGTTTGTGTCCGTTGAGAAGCGTTTAGGTGGGCTGGGAGTGGGAAGACAACTCCGATAGATTTTTGGAGTACGCCACCGGCGGGAGGGGTTAAAATAAATACTGACGGTTCACTGGTATAGCGT